TTCTATGATATACCCATCTATTATCTTTATTGGTGAGATCCAATAAACAAGTAATGTGTGTGATCCCTTATCCATATAACATCGGCTGTTTGGAAAATGGTTTCAATAGCACATTGACAGATTTTCATTTCCCAAAAGAGTCTCATTTTCCTACTGGCAGCCTTGCTGATTTGACCTCTTCTGTTGAATCTTGCCCTCAATCAGGTTTCAATATTAATAACCTAAACTCTTAGCATGTTTAATTACTATGTAAATAACACTGCATAGCCATGTGGTTGTTGTGACAATGTATAATCATAATTAAAACAAGAATGAATTGTTGATTTAGCTGTGTTTATTGATAATGGAATTAGTAGGGTCATACTACATGAGGATTATCACACTCATTAGGTAACTGAAAATAGTCTTTTTTTCTCTTTGCAAAAGCTACAAATAAAAACCATAATGAATAAATATGGTCTTGTACACTGAAAAAGTTTTTTTTCCATCTCTCAGACACACACACACATGCTCATGTGCATTAACAAAAAAGAGATTTCAAGTTCTTTATTTCTTTATTGCAATTTGATAATGAGATAATTTCTTGACAATGTGGACTTGTATCATTGTGTATAATTTACAACAACAACCCCCCAGCCCTAATGGCCATGTGGTTTCAATAATCTGCTCATTGCCATCTCACCTCTGTCTGCATGGAGTTGAGTCTTGGGTTTGACCACTATGGGTATGTGAGAAAGCTTGCCAGTATCTTCTTGTGGGTTGGTGGTTCTTTCCAGAGTTTTCCAGGTTTCTTCCTCCACCATTTATACTGGTAACCATGTATAGCCTATTGTGTGCTGAAAAATGGCATTAAACCCTATAACAACAAGAACCAATAAACAATACCCATGGCCAATACATCTTCAAACCATCTTAATCATTTTGCTAACATTACACAACATAACAGTAACAGCTACATACAGAAACAGCCTTAGAATGTGCTAGGCCCAAATCAGCAAGCAATGAGCAGGGCAAGCAAAAAATAAATGCATTGTTGAGTTGATTTCCATCAGCACCGTGGGGCCCTTGAATCTGCAGGGTCCAAGGCGGTTAACTTACCATAGGGCCGGACCTTGTTACATGTACTCTAAATGCAGATGAGCTTATACACTGAGATGCTGAGATGTAATCCTCTCTCTCTCTCTCTCTCTCTCTCTCTCTCTCTCTCTCTCTCTCTCTCTCTCTCTCTCTCTCTCTCTCTCTCTCTCTCTCTCTCTCTCCCTCTCTCTTTCTCTCTCTCTCTCTCTTTCACTCTCTCTCTCTTTGAGTACTTTTATTTTATTGTGATGTATTAGATTCTTTGAGTTGAGAGCAGAATGAGACAAAATATACATTTGCATGTTGTACATTATGTTGTCAAGTAGCATAGATCTTGTGATCCCTATTTTTTTCATAGTCAGTACCACAAAATGATAATTATTTTTTTTACATAGAAACTTTTGTTCACTTAAATTAATATTTTTTTTTTGTGTATTAATAATTACATGAAATACAGTTGAGAACCGCTCTGGTGGCCTAATGGTTAGAGCATCTGCCTCAGATGTGGGAGGTCGTGGGTTCGATCCCCGGTCAATTCATACCAAAGACTTATAAAAATGGTACAAACAGCTGCCTCGCTTGATGCTCATCATTAAGAGGTTAGTGTTAGGATTGGTTGGCCTGGTGTCAGGATAATGTGACTGGGTGGGAAATCATACTACATGTCTGTGGTATGATGCCCCATTGCTAAACATCACTATAAACTATAAACTGCCACACTGCAGACATCATAGCGATATGACTAAAAAGATTTTAAAGCTATATTAAAAATCATAATCACATCACTCATCACATCACATGAAATACAGTTGACAGTTTTTACTCCCATCTGCAAATAAAGTATCCTGCACACTTCATATTTCTTCCAATACCCTCTGCAGTGATTTCACATTTCAGCCTTTTTTGTTAAAAGTGAATTAATGATAATTATGTGCCCAGCAGAGAAAACAAGTAGCTGATAATGGAGATGTGTATTTTTATGTGCATTTTGTCATGCATTGCTGATGCTTCCAGCACACTTTTTGAATAGTGCTTTGAAAAAGGGTATAGAAGTGCAGCTCGGAGGAAAGACTTAATGGTCTCTTTTTGTTATTATTGAGAAATACAGATCTGGACGTTTTACATGGAGCTCTTGATATGTATTATCTTATTATGTTTTCTTAGTGCTTGGCTGCTGGCTCAAGCATCATGAACCGAGAAGTAGAGAGTGCCAGCATGCGACCTCTTGCCAGAGCCCTTACCAAGAATCTAGATAGCCTGCGATGTATTTTGAGAGAGCAGAGCTTGAGAAATATAAATGAGTACTCTGAGAGGGTGAGTGACAATAAAACAGTTACCAGCCCCTGTACACACACACACACGCACACACAAACATCTTTTGTTACATTTCTCAATGTGTAAACATTCAAACTCAGATATTGCTTCTTACTGGGATTAACATTTTATAAAATAATTCTCTATATGTTGATCATTATTCTTTAGTAGATTTCAGATAGATAATTTGTTCATTATCAGATAATGTGCTCACACCCCATGCATCATAGCTTAGTTAATAGCACTAGATGGTAACCTTAAAAAGTTAATTTTTCTGGCATTTATAACATGTAAATCATCGTTTGTCTCATGTTTTCAAGTAAAATATTGGATAGATTCATTAGTCTTTGATAATAATCAGTCTCAAAATTTCCATACAGGTACAGCTGGGGGAGGAGAAGCAAAAGTTCGACTTTCACTCACTTAGAATCTCACATATACATATTTGACAGGATAATGATAAGTGAAAGCATAATTACAGAACCAAATTATCACATGTTGGTTTATAATGTGTTGCTGTTACTGTATACACTCAAATGTAGGGCCTGAATGCCAACTGGATAAACTCCTGCTGTTTAAAGTGCTGGTAGATCTCTATGCAGTTTGTTAGGAGTAATCATTAGAACAAGCAGCATAGTCAGATCTTTCAGTGCATAGTTAATGTTGTTTGTAATTAGACCCACCTTGGAAGTGGGTATATACAGTATGTTATGCTTATAGGCATCATTTTATTGCTGCCAGCAATATTAGATTTTCTATATGAGGAAGAATATTAATATAGTAATTTAATATATTAATGTGTTTGTTTGGGGAGGGGAATGAGGGGGTAGTACTAAGTTTTCTGCTGTAATTTCATTGTATGGATAATAGTATTTTACAACATGCATGAAATGGGTCAAGGTATCAGTTTTATGGGCAGTCTTTTCTGCAAAGATGCTACATATCAGACTTAAATTCTGTTAATTTATTAGACTTTTCAGGTTTTTTTTTTCATGAATGCTATATTAAATTCAAGCATCCATATTATTATGGGTGAAGCCCATTAAGTTTTATGTTGTGATGAAATGTTCACACATACCCCCATAGCAATGTGATTTATAATCACTCTGAATAAAAGATGAGTCTTAATAGTGAGGAAGGTATGCAAAAAGAAAATCATTATCTTGCATCAGCTGTTTCATATATAACTAGTGTTTGTAACTAGTGTTTGTATAGAAACTAATTAGATTATCAGTAATGTAGATAAAGCTGCATATATATTTTTAGAGTTTCCTCTAAGCTGTTGGTGTAGGACCAGGTGACAGTGTTGATATATGGCAAACTATGAACAATTACAGAGACAATGGGAGACCACTGATTGTCCAAACTTGATAGCACATTGGTAATGTGCTTAGTTTTTAACTATATATTACTGGGTTTGATCCAAAGTTCTCACATCTTCAAGGCTATGTGGTTGTCTTATCTGAGATTCATGGTTTACTGTAGGGTTTGTCTCCTGCACTGTAAAAACCAATTTAGAGCAACATCTGCAAAGTTAAGAGTGTGGTGTTAGAATTGATAGAATTGTTGTGCATTAGTGTTAAATAATAATGTTTGTACTTGTGACAATTATTTCCAATTAAAAGTAAAACAAATAAAAATTATAATTTGTGGGCAGAACATAATAATATTAATAGAGTTAATTTGAGTGGTCTAAAGCGCTGTCCATTACGGATCACTGCCATCTCACCTCTGTCTGCGTGGGTTCGAGTCTAGGATTCAGCGAATGTGGATATGTGAGTAAGCTTGCCAGTAGCTTCTCGTGGGTCGGTAGTTCTTTCCGGTGATTTCCTGGTTTCTTCCTCCACCATTAATACTGGCCGCCATGAATAGCCTATCTTGTGCTGAAAAATGGCGTTAAGCTCAACAACAACAGCAACAACAAATTGTAATCAAATATTTTTGGGCTTGGAGGGATTGATTGTTAGAAATTTTATGGTATTGCTAAAATTAGTGAGAAAATATAGAACCACTGACAGTTCATGTCAGTTTTGTTATGTCAGGGAGGCAGATTTTGGTATATGATTTGCCCAGACTGTAGTTACCTCCCCAAGATAGTATTCTTAAAAAAGTGAAACAATATTAGAAAATACTTTCAAAAGGACATCATAATTTCTCAAATAATAAATTCTTTAGTGACATTATAAAGAGAAGCAAAACTTTAGTAAAAAATAAAGATTTTTATATAGCAATATGTTGATGCTAAGACAAAAGACACTGAGGAGCAGAATTTTGGTAATTATGCACTTCCATCACTTCTTACATAAGCTCTGTGTGCCATCAGTGTTGATAATAGTCTGAATCTTTTCTTGTTTTGCAGATTAGAGAAGCTCTTGTGATATTTGATAAATTATTTGCAGAATTTGAATTGAGGTAAGTTCAACTTTTGCTGCTGTATTTCATGTTTGCAAGAGATATTTTATCAGTGATATTTATTTGTAAAGTTTCCAAGAGTAGGCTCTTTATAAGGAAGATGCCATGTTGTTTAGTTGACATTCTTTATTTTAATGTTTTACTGCAATACCTTACTCAGAATGCATATAAAGACATTTCACTTCTCAAATTTATTTGACTGCTCTGGTGGCCTAGTGGTTTGAGCATCTGCCTTGGATGCAGGAAGTTATAGGATTGAACCCTAGTCGAGTCATACCAGCACTAAGAAGTTAGTGTTAGGATTGGTCAGCCTGGTGTTAGGATAATATGGCTGGGTGGGACATGATGCTACATGGCTGTGGCATGATGCCTCAGTGCTAGACATTACTATAAACTGTCACACTGCAGACTGAAAAATTGTTAAAGTTATGTTAAAAATCCAAATCGGCACCTCCACTTTTTCATCCAGCAATGGGATCTTTAAATTATGTAGCTTGTATCCAAATAATTGTGCCACTCAGATGTTTTAACATCACTCATATTGTCTCTGCAACTTCTTAAACATGAGTAGGGTTCCCTAGAGGCATGTAATGAAAAAGAAAAGTAGGTTTACAATATAACTAGGTGGAACATCATGCAACATTTCTGCAGCATGATGCACCAGAGCATGACATCATAATAACTGCCACGATGAAATTTTGTATTGCTACATCAAAAATATAAATCACTTGCATGCATACAAGTTGAATTTAGTTGCAAACACCATAGACCATGGTCTACCATCACATAATGTGCTTACAGATCAGGGTCTTTGTTGTTTGTTCTGCTGATTGCCCCCAACACACTGCATAGAACCAGATCTGCCCCAGCATTATGCAAGTTGATCATGCAGTGGCTTGCAAGCAAATATGCATATTTTGGTCCAGATTAAAGTATCTCTCTGACCCTGTGGCAGATTACCATATATGTATAAGAAAAAGTGATTACTGCAAATTCATTTATATTCATGGGAATCAATTTTTGATGGCTTTGCCACAAAGTCTTTTGGAGTAGTACTTAATTTCATGTACTCTTGAAAAAACTTATTCTTCTCTTATATGGAGAATTTTTTGTCTGATTTTTTAAATTGTGGTTTGAAGCAACTGTAACTTCCAGAAAAATTGGTATCCCATGGAAAATAGTGACACTAATTCTAATTTTAAAATGGCTAACAATATTCTTTCATTGAATTGCTAATAGAATGTTTTATGTTTGAAGTGTTGCATTGTTAGTCAAATTTTGTGTACTTTGTTATGTGATTTTATACATTAGGTAAAGTGCTCATTTCCGGACATCAAAAGTTTGTTTCATTGACAACGAGAACTTAGCTTGAAGTTGTACATGTCAAATTAACATCCCAAATCTCAAGTCTCAATCAGGTGCATCACTTCAGATTAAACTATATACATTATGCAAAAAAGATTGCTTATTATATTCTTTGATAAAATATTTTCACTGTTACAATATTTGAATTTAATTTCCCAGACCCATTTCCAAATATATATATAATAAATTTGGAATTTTTTTATTTTTTGGAATTTGAAGCTTTTCAATTTCAATTTATAGATAGTACAAGTTTCATACTGTATGTTATGATGAGTCATTTAAACCTTATTCTAATATAGTGTAAAATGCTGTATGCTAATACTTGTATAACATTATACTGTATAACCTTATTCTGGTACAAGATAAGGCACACATGTTAAGGATTTTTTAGTGTCAGAAAGTGAACTGCTGTTTGAAATAACTTTAAGTTTTGAAAAGCATTTCAACTTTTGTGTCAAGTTGATTCTAAAAGAAAATTGTTTACAGTTTCTTTGGACAAGTTGCAAATTGTTTAGGACAAATGAATTTTTCATTTATCAGAATGGACAAGTAGTTATAAAGTTAACATAGCTTACTAAGCCTTCAAATTTTCTTACTTACCTGATTTTTCTGGTTCCTTTATTTTTGTAGTTATGTAAGTGCCATGGTACCAGTGAAGACAATGAGGGAGCATGACATGGTACAGGAAATCACCGTGTTATTCTCAGAAACAGTACAGAGGTTAGTCAGGGGAGATCATCCATTTATTTATTTACAGCAATGTGTTGAGTACCTAGATTAAATTTTTTAAACAATCTGTTTCATGTAAAGATTACAAGAGATAAAACACATTCCATATCCAGCTGTGAAAAGGTTTTTGAGAACCACCACACCAATGCAACCAAACTTGGCATATTTGGCTTTCAGATTTTTTACAAATGATACAGGTATACCAGAATATGTAAAACCAGACAAATATTTGAAGAGCTTTTAAAGAAATGCTTGAAAGCATTTGAGAAAAATATCCTTGCACAAAAGCCTTTGAGATTTGTACAGATAATGCAGATTTTCCATCAAATATGTTCATCTGCAACTGAATGTTAAACAAAAACTTTTAAATAACTATTCAAAAACTGCTGAATAAAATTTACATTTTGAAGAAAAAAAGTTTTCTGGCATGAAGACCTTTCTGTTTCATTGAAATAATCTCGGTGTACCATCAAAAAGTGACTCAGTTAACAAAATATGCCTTTAAATGTTTTAAAATTCCTCTTTACAAAGTTTGAATGAAAGCATTTGCATATGGAGGCCTTTACATTTTTATAAATAAGGTTGATGATTTATAGAAAAGAAAACCCTGTAAATATCCACTAGCAACATACTGACAGAGTGTTTGGTCATTTGCTCAACATTATGGCTTTTTTGGTACTGTTAAACACTGAAAAACCTAACCTTTGTACTGGAATTCCCTTGAGATTCAATGGGAGGGGTTCCAAGACGTTTCCTTCTTTAATATCATATTTTTTTCTTGTTGATCAAAACTCCTTAATTCAAAACTGAAACAAAGTTGTTTGATAACTCATTTCAATTTTACTCTTAAGAAAACTCCCATAAAACTGAAACTCACTTAAGACATTCAGAATGTATTTTAGCTGCTAAATTCCTGACACATGCTGGACCAAATTAGTATAGGTAGCAAACACTGTTGTTAGCTTATTGGTGAAAAAAATGACCTAAGGACACTAGTTTAAAACGATACTTGACATTCAATGCTGGCAGAGGAAGGCCAATCTGAAGTCTTTGCATCATAATAAGAGTGTCAAGGTAACTTATTAATAACTGAATGCTTGAAGATAAGCCATTTAGAAAAAATTATGTTTATCTGCTTATTATCAAATTGTGATGTTATGATCAATTGTAGATTTTTGTTTGTTTTTATAATTAAATATCCAGGCTTTAGTAACCAGGCACACAGCCATGCTTTTGATGCTTTGCTGACAGATAATGACAGAACAATGTTCTAGAAGGTAGTCACTGAATTGATTTTCAGAGGAGAAAAATCATTATATACATGTATTTAAATTGCTTATGATTGTTTTTGCTTACATGTCAGAATGACCAGCTAAGTGTCCTAGGATTCAGCTATTCTTGCAAGATGGAATTAGTCTGATCAATGAGTGTAATTCTGTGCTAAAGTCTATCTTCCAGAAACTAGGGGAAAATTTGGCATAGGAACGTTGTGAATTATAAGGAGAGTTTAACCATTATCTTTCATAATTCTAATGAACCTACTGCAAAGTTATATAAGTATATTGTTCCTTAAATGTTTCTTGACATGAGAACTGTATTTTAATTTGGAACAATTGTATTTCTTTATGAGACTGGATGTGATTTTTGGAAGCAATGCAGTGTACATTGTTTGGCTTACTTTTCATGAAGTGTTCTCCTCACCCAATCTTAGTGCTATGTGGTATGGTTCTGCATTTATAGTGTGTCATGCATTGCCCACCAAAATTGGTCATGTTCATTTTCTTGTCAAAACCACTGGACTGACCCTTGAAAATTCATATCATCCTGGTGTGATGGCATTTCATGTTTGTACAAATAATAATCTGTCATAGTTGTCATTACTAAATATAAAATTATTTTTAAATGATTTTCAAAATTACTGAATTCAAATTTCACTGAATCATATTAGTATTAAGGTCTTTCATATTTATGCAGCTGACACTAATCTGCCATCCAATGTGGCTGACATTGCTAAAAATAGAAGAAAAAAAAATGGCCACAAAATCTTCTTCAAAATCACCTGGCAGAATTTGAATAAATGTAATAGTCATCCTATTCTAAAGACTTTTAAGGTTTTTAAAAAGAGCCAATCTGCCATCCATTTTGGTTGTAGTAACTAAAAGAAGAAAAAACCTTATCCAACTTTTTTTGAAAAATCGTTGAACAGATTTTGTTCAAGTTTGACTGAAGACAGCATAGCATGCAGGTCTTTACAATTCATACATGTTGTGCCAATCTACTGTCAAGTATGGTCACCATTACTAGAAAAAATATCTTCACACAGCTTATAGCTCAACGAATTTAAAATCTGACAAAAGATTAAAGAGTCTTTAAATTCTACATAAATAATGGTGATCTGCTGTGAAATGTGGTTGGTTAAATCTAGTACTAACACAGGGTTGAGTCATAGCACCACTCTGTACCACAAATAACATTATTACAGTGTAGGATTTACTGATGCTAAAAAACTAAGTATTGGTTGCCATGAAACAGACTTAAAAGTTATTAATTAGTATGTGAGAAAAATTATTTGCCCTGACTTGGATAAGTACTAAAAATTTTAAACATTTATGTGTCCTATAAAGCTGCTTCATACTTTTCTTATACTGACATTCTAGCATTTTGCAATTTTAAAAATTCAATTCACCATATCCAACATGTTACTTTTTAATTTATCATTTGCTGCATTATAAAAACAATTCCTATTGACAATGTTGTAATTTACTTTAAAATTGTAATGTTTTACAGGTATCTAAAACTTGGTCTACTGAGTCAAGAAATGATTGATGACTGTGATCCAGCCTTGATGTTTACCATTCCTCGACTTGCAATTGTTTGGTAAGCTTAAAGTTATATGGATACATTTTTAGCATTCCAGGTGAACTTGTTGTTTTCACTAACAGATCTTCTTAGGATGTCAACTTCATCAAAAATGGAACGGTGCCAATTAGATATTTGATGTTGCAACCATTGCAGTCATCTTTAAAATTTTCTTATTGTTATTCTCAGAATCAAAGTCAAATCAGTGTGACTTTTCATCTGAAGATCTATAATGTCCTGCTGCTTCTAAATTAAAATGGTGTCAATCTGACATCCAATACGTTCACCACATCAGCTAATTTGAAAATCTTGTTATTACTA